AAATTATACGGGCGGGCGGCAAAATACTGTGTAGTGTAGTACTAAACTAAGCTTTTTTATTTTTTATTTATTTATTTATTTTAAATCAACAGTAAATAATTCTATATCTAGGTAGGTACTTAGATTTACTTACTTATGAGCATTTATTTTTGTCCTCATCCCATGTTATTCCTAATCGTCTTATGTTCTCATTTTCTTAATGTTACTCCTAACGAAAGTAATATCGTTATAATTAATTCTCAACCTTAAAAATATTAAAATAGAACTCTTATTTCAGTGCGGTAACAGTTGAAGATGAGAGTAAAATTTGCGGCGAGTTAATCAATAAGTACATACAAGCCGTGACTTATCAAGATGATCTTGAGCGACAATTGAACTTCTACGTGGAGTGTCGCTCCTCGTTCATTAAATTGGACGCTGTGCTCATTACTCTAGTTCATGTAAGTATACATTGATGTAAATCGGCAATGTGAATATTTTATTATTATCTTTTCTATGCGATTTCGAACCTGTCCTTTGTAATTTTTAACTTAAACTAGGTTTTTCTTTTGTGGTGTGGATCAAAATAAAAAAGCCAGACATAAAGGCATAAAGTCATGCTGCATATGCGTGAATATAATTATGTAAACAGTTGTGTATGACATCGATCATTAAATTAGGAGCCGCATCGTTCTGCGTCATTGCTCACTATAAACCGAGTTCAGTTTACAGCAAAATCCCGACATGCTGATATTTGTGCCAAGTTTTATAAGACGACCGTCGGTTTTTTCTCGGTAGCGGCTTCCTTCCTTATTTTGAATTAGGCCACCAGAAATTCCTGTCTGGAACGTGGATGATAATACTTATTATTCGTAACTAGCAAACCCGGCGAACTCCGTTTCGCCACCAGATGGCTTCGTTTTTATGTAACATTTCGTTTGGTGATAAAATATTTTTTTTTTGTTTTATCCTTACTAATATTGTAAATCGAAAAGTGAGTTTGTTTGTTTGTTTGTTCCGCTTTCCGCCGTAACTACTAAATCGATTACTTTGAAATTTTGCAGACGTAAAGTTAGAAGTTTGGATTAAATAATACTTTTTATCCCGGAAAAATTGATATTCTCGAGGGAAAACAAAAGAATTGGTATAGATGGCACTATGTGTATTGGTATATGTCACATAGGCTACTTTTTATCCTTTTGTGACGCGAGCGAAGCTGCGGGTAAAAGCTAGTATTTTATAAACCACACGGAGCCCGAGACCTTTCTAACGAATGCAAAACCGTGGAAATCAGTACGTGCGTTCTGGAGTTATAGCGCCAGGAAGGAAAACCCGACTTATTTTTATATTGTAGATATACAAGGTGTTGTTTTAAAGCCGCATTATTTAATACGAGATTTAATACGAGGTAACTCAGATATTGATTCTGAGTCCGAATCAATAAAAAATTGTAGGTAAATATTATTCATTTTTCTGAAATTACGGAAATCCGTAAGTGCGAAGTACACGCCGCCGTCTTGTAACTATGTAGCTCTATAACACGGCTTAACACACACAAACTCAAACACGTAATTGATATTATTCCTAATTCCATAAAACTCCAATAAGAAACGTTGCTGTCGCTTATTCTGAAATACTGTCGAACTTAAACGATTTATTATAGCCGTATTTTAACTATTGGCCCGAAATTTTCTCTTACATTGAACCTTTATGACTTCTGTGACATGCCCCCGAGAAATGACACGGTTTCAAAACTACACCTTTTATGTTGCATAGACTGCACGGTTGGCGCGGTGGTTGGCAACTGCCGCGCAACGTGCCGCGGGTTCGATTCCCGCACGGAATAACTCTTTGTGTGATCCACAGATTGTTATTCTGGCACTGGGTGTCATTTGTATGTGAACTTGTATGTTTGTCAACGGATCCATGACACAGGAGAAAATCCAAGTGTAGGGCAATGTTTTTTAAAAAAATACAGTTAACTTTACCTGGAAAAACACTTTCGCCCTTTAATGGTTGTGCACAGACTAACACACTAACTTGTTACCAAAAATAAGTCGAGTGTGATGAGGCGAGCCCCATTTTGAGGCCTCGATACTACTACCGAAAATAACTCAATGTTACTGACCCGAGACCAATAGCTCGGTAATCGTGCTCGTGATTAATAAGAAATACAATATGTATACTTACATTCCTATTCCGTGATAAGGCTGTGAACACACTAGCGGCGCGCGCGAAATCGACGCGCGGCAAGTGGTTACAGCGCGCGTGCGCCGCGTACTGCTTCGTGACCGTACCCTCGTTACACTGCACGCTCACCAAAACTCAGCTCTACCTTCTGTCAGGACAGGTCGCACTCCTCAACAACTGTATTGGACAAGGTATGTGGTAGAATAAATCGCGGGTAAGTATGTTAGATAACTTCGTAAAGGAACAACTTAATCATACGGTTGTCTACGCAAATGAAAGGTAACTATATTTACTAGTCAAACATATCCTTAAATCAGAGCGATTTATGTTTTGCAGCGGAAGCAAATTTCAAAGCTCTCATTGGGCTGATACTTGACATACCCGATTACATATTAGAAGATGGACAGAAGAAACCAACTCATGTTAAAGTCGCAGGCATTCTGAGCGACTTCTTGTCGACTTTATTATTGCTGCCTGTGAGTCTTGTACATATTATTTATACCTGTTATAGATAAGTTATCCATTCTACAAGTTGTTTTAAAAATATTTTGGATAAGTTCTTGAAGTAAGTTAGTAACTAGAGGCAATATTGATAATTTTAACAGCGTTTAATGAAATTCCTATAAAATCAAAAGTATTTTTTTGCTTTTGGAATTTATTCAAATGGTATTGTAGGACAACGTGGATAGCAACTGTAAAGCTTACATACTAACCGGATTTATAAAGACGATGGAGAGGATACATTGGAAGAAGACAGAGCCTTTGTATTACAACACATTACTTCGGACTTTAGACCTACTCTCTGAAATGACGCAGGACACTTACATTCACCACTTAGAGTCAGGTGAGCATCTTCATTAAGAAGGAGACTGTGTTGAATTAGATCATCTTAATTACGTGGTTTAAAGTAATATAGCAGCTAGCTGTATTATTGTATGAGTTGCTGTAACATATTGTTTTTATAATCGTAGAACGAATATTACGATTATAAAAATATCAGATAGTACTATCTGATTCCTTGGACGTTCTAATTTTTTTTTTGTTTCCAGTTCTCTCTAATGACCAACTATATGGATGTGATCCGGAATTCATAAGTGTATTAGACCGGCATGCAACTAACATTTGTCAAGAGTTACTAGTAGTGCTGAAGATGTTGGGCGACAACAGGGAGACTAAGAAACAATACAACTTGTCTCTTGAACTGTTCTGGCGGGTGGTGAGACGCGGGGAACTAAATGAGCGCCCCATGCTGAGCCTCGCGGCTAACCTGTGGATGTTGTCACAAAAAACGCAAGACTCCAATAATAAACTTGGGGTGAGTAGCTATTCAAACAATACATACATGACGTTGACCGATTAATGTTAGAAACAGATGTACTTTTTGGTTAATAAAATTGATTATTACATTTTTGTGTTACAGAAATCAATGATTGCTGCGTTGAAGAAAGAAACAAACCCCACTATTCGCGGCTTACTTCAAAAGTTGGAAGAAGGATCAAAAAGTACCTAAAGTCATTAAGACCTTAGTTGGTGCTATTCCAAGATTAGCAGCATTAATAAATGTCTCGATTACTTCTAGCATTATTTATAACTACTTTTTGCTCTAGAAGCCGGTCTAAGTGAAATGAACGAGTACACTAACTGTACCTAAGGCAGTTTCGAAAGATTTGCACTAAATATCTATTTTCTACAAATCTGGCGTCATAGTGATATCGCCCAATATTGTAAAAGATGTTTTGTAATTAACTACTTACTTTAATTACCGTTAATTTCATAACATTTGAGAAATCTTGTTTCAATGATTTATGTTATTGTTGTTTATTTTTAAGACTATAAGGTATTTATTCAATCGTTCCGTTAGTATAATGTTTACTTATGTTTAGTATATTTATATTTAATTGTATTACAGGTGCTTCATTTACAATGGTCACTGCCAAATGAAAAGATAGTAATGATAAATATATGTACCTATATTCATAAGTGCGTTTCATTCTCCTAAATTGTCCGTGTTACAATATCAATACACTATCTAGTATCAACTATACAATAAGTTTTGTAATTACAATACTACGATAGATTTTTCTAGAAAAAATGGTTATAAATGCGGTTAGTGATTGTCTATCAGGTAACGCACTGTTGTGCAATTCTAATTCAATTAGGAAAACTTTTTTCCTATATTATTCGAGTATTTGAGGTATAAAATCAATACAGATACGCTTTTATGAATAAAACCACAGTTGCTTGATAACAATGCTGTAAACATACGATAGGTATACATATATTGACTAGTTCCTTTGCAACTAATGACAACCTCTATTCTTTGTTTCAATTTAGAAGTTGCAAATAGTCAATTTCTACAAGTTTGTCTTTTTAAATGATACATTACATCACTTCTCTTTTTAAATTTTATAGATAACGTTGTTTTTCACTATTTTAGTTGGCAATTCCAATATGATGTAATTGCGAGCAGATGCCTTACCATGAATATGATAGTGATGCATATGATATGATAGGTTTGCAGCGGGTGCGCGGTATCAGATGTTGGTGGCGAGAGTGGCAGCGGGCGCGGCGCGAGTGGTCGCGTTGCTGCAGGTGACCCCTACAGTAGTTCGCCGGATGGAGTAAGCGGACATTGTCCGGCAAGACACGCTTGAGTGGTGCGCGCTCTGTTGCGCCGATCTTTCACCTTCGCAATATTGACGCCTATAAAACCTTGTCATTTCAATAATGTGAAGTTACTTTCATTCCAACAGAAACGAAGAATACAACTCGACTACCCGAAAAGTAATCTTCGTGCAAAAATCTTATCTGGGTGTAAACCCATTTCCAAAATGTCCAAACTCGGCTGTTTGGTACGTTATCGCTATTGGTTTATTTTATACGCTGAACAAGTTGTGACACAAAATAGTTAATCTTTGAATACTTTTTGCAGTTGTTTGTCTGGGCCGTATGTGAAGGAGTTATTGCTAATGAAGAACAAAATGGATTCGTGCAGCCATTGGACTTTGGGCCACTTTTTGATTCAGGTATTTAATTTATAATATCTAATATTCAAGATGTAGAGAACACAAACAGCACTAACTGCTAATGCCCGCACGCTAATATTTAATATAATTATTTAGTTTTTCACTCTTATCGTCTTTTCAGGCGCTACTTCGCTGGCTTCAGAACCTATCGCGGCTGCAGTGCTAAAAGTAGATAAAACCCAATATCCTCAACTTTTTGACACTATTGTTAGTAGTTCCATCGATTCCTTACAAACTCGTGTAGCACCCATAGAAAAAGCATTTTCTGCCGATAATTTCGGCTTTAATCCCATTGCCAGTCAAAGCTTTTTGTCGCCGGGGAAACCTGCTAGACTAGTAGCGCCGCCGAGACAACAACATAATCAACCACAAGCGATTCCAATTGGGCAACAGCTTTCTCCATTGAGATATGACATTCGCACAGTGCATGATGCTGACTATAAAGTGTACAAACCTGAGGACGAGGAACAGGGAGAAGAAATTTTAGCTGCTTTGAAAAAAAATCCTAGCGTGGCTGCTTATTTTAAACCTACACAAACCAATGTTGAAGTGGCTCATCCACTGAACTATCGCAAGGAAGAATTAAACGAAAATTCTGAAATTGAACAGAACTACAAGCCAAATGCTTATATTCCAGGACCAGCTCGTATTCGACGATACACTAGCGGAAGACAAAGGGAAAACCTGAAGAAGAGCAGCGATGATGACGACGATCCCTATAACTACAACGTCGAATACATTTCTAAACCAAAAGCATTCGACAGTAGTTTGTACAGCAGTGCTTACAAAGAACAAAAAGACCCCAACAAAGATTACGAGTATCCTTACAGCTATGACTCAGGGTACGACCACAAAGAATATGAAAGAATAAAAGAGCTGTCAGAGAAGCAGGCTGCAGAGATCAAGCAAAATCCAGGAAACTGTAAAGAGGTGAAAAAGGACGGTATGACCTGCACGACGTGTAAAGATCCCAAAACTGGAGGAAACTTTGAGTCATGTTCCTATGTTGCTGAACCAAAGAACAACAAATATGCCTACTCTAAGGAAAGAAAGTTTGACAGCAACGACGAACCTGATGAAGCTGAGGCACCGCAACAAAGTGAACCAGCGAAGAAATCTGAAAAATATGTCCAGTCTGGCGAGAGCAGCGAAGAGAAGTACACTAAGGCAGCCGAACCCGCACCAAACAATGATGATAATTCTGGAGAAAAGTATAAGGCTTACTACATACATAATTCAAAACCTACACCTAGCGAAGCTTTACGTGCTGCAGAAGACAAACAGAGTTCGGAAGAGGAGGGAGACGGCTCTTCAGGAAAATCTTATGACTACAAAAAAGCTTTGCCAGGTTTTTATACTGATAATGAACCTAAAAAAGACGTGGAACATGTATTAGCAGAATTCAAGAAAAAAGATAGGTCGTCATGTAAAAAAGTTCAGAAAAATGGAATGACTTGCTACCAATGTATCGATAAAAATGGTCTGAAAAATGAAGAATGCATGTTTGTGTCAGAATCAGCGCCCAAACGAAGCCATTTAGCGTATCAAGAACTGAAAGAATTTACATCTAAACCTGCCACTCTCGACCAAGGAAATGAGGGTGCTGAAAGTAAAACGGTGACTACAAGTGCTCCTCCAGCTCAAAAGTCTGCTGCGTATGTAGTAGACAACACTAATTACGGCAAAAAGTTAAAGCGTAAGAAGGCACCGCAGAGTATTGCTGCCGCAGCTACCGTTGCAGTAGCCAGTGCAGTTAAACCTGCACCTATAGCAACAAACGTACGTAAAACTAAACGGAGCGTTGAAACTGAAGCGGAACAAAATGCACAGATTGTAGATGTAACTAATATTGCCCAGCCTGAGGAATTTGCGGGAAGCGATTCTAGAGGAGCTTTTTGGGCAGATACGATGCCAAGATACAGTGCATCGTTAGGCGTAACATTGCCTGAATTCATGCTGTCAAGGTCGGAGCACGAACTTATGTTTGATGAAACCGTCGCCAGCGCGTAAAAGATATTTAAGGCTTGATTAGTTAGCCAACAAATTCAGTATTAGTAGAGCGTGTCGGTTGTACAACGCTTTAGATAAAACCTGAACTAAAGGTAACGGGTATTTGTTGTGTAATAGTAAAATAAGATTTTACGGACTGACGTGCTGCGAGTCAGAATTGAAAAACCACAAATGTAATATTCGCAGACACGCCGTGCAAATAAAATAACGTATTGGTAGTGTTTTTGTTGGCTACTCATTATAATATAATTACGAATAAAGTGGAAATGTGTAGTAAGGCGTATGTAATACAAAAAATATTTTAGGATGTCGTACCTACCTACTGAAGAATTTCGTATGATGACTGTTCGTTTTATATCAAAGTACTTATTTTACGTTGTTAACTAGTTATAGATGTTATGAAATTATTAAATTTGACGTTATTGTTGTTATATTGGGCTTTTCTTTTATTTCATTTTTATTTACACCGTTGTGATTCTCATATATTAGCAATAATTTATAATTTTACAAGAGTTACTTGCAAAATGTTTTAGATATATAAAAAAATTCACTATTATTATTGTTAAAGAAATATCTAACCTAATCTAACTAGTGTTTAAGTGAATAAAAGAAAACGACAAGTGTCGTTGGCCCAACAGCTTTCCAACGTGCTTATACGACTTTAGGATACCTATGTCTGTACCTACCTATCTACATGCCTATCTAAAGTCTGAGTCAGTTGTTTCATAAGAAAGCTCCGCCCTCACCCCCATGGAAGTGCTATACATCCATATTACATAATTAATTAAAATAGATGCCTGTATAACTTTTGAAAGAACATAATATCACATAAGTCGGTATTTGTTTGTGTAATCTGTACCTATTTACACATTTATGTTAGTAGGAATCTAACTGTAGCTAATTAGGTTCGAATGCTAGGCACATGTACCAATACCTAGATGAAACTGTATCGTCAGGTCACAATAGTTGGCATGATATTCGGTCAGTGTCCTAGATGTCAATACTGTTTTAATGCTTCTATTTTTGCTGGTAATTGTCCAAGATACGAACGTCACTAAGGAACAAACTCGTATGAGCAAAAGCAGGCTACCGACTTCGGAAGAAAGTAATTAATTTCAGTCGTAAGCCGGTCATACAACAGCACAGTGTTCTGTCTGTTCTTGATATAAATAAAGTTGTGTAAGATCGGAAGCCAATAATAAAATTGTAGATAGTTGTTTGTTTTGTGTAGTGACTGACGGACTAGTCCGTAGCCAGAATTTGTGTTCTTGAAGTTATTGTAAGTATTTAATATCGATATTTTACTTAAAGTTAAATAAATACATTTTTATTAATTATTTACACCATTTGTATTTATTTTATTACCATTAATTGTTAATTAGCAATAAATTACTTTCATTTTAATTCATCATAGAATAGACACATCCCTATCCAAAATTACAGTATAAAAAATTATGAAACAATTCGTAACTTATCCGAAACAAAGAATGCCGCCGCTGTGTATCGATACTGAAAAAAATTATTGTCGTTGTGCCAAGAAGTCAATTGAACAAAAAATGGGGTTATATTATTGCGCAGCGGTTTTAATCAAAGGCTCGCAACGCTGGTTGCGAGACTTATTTTTATTGTATTTACAATTTTAAGCTAACTTTAGAACGAATCATTGGCCATAGGTCAAATGATCGAAGTGCAATACCACAACATGAAATTGAATTCGTACATAATTTATATAAAGCAGGTAACGCCTTTAAATTCCCGAAGAGGTAGACAGAAGCGCACAGGAACATTTGTGTTAGTTCGATAGTGTCAGTACCTACTGTGATAAAATGGTCCAGTGGTTATAAGCACCTACCTAACTAATCTAGGTACTTGTGGGATAACGAAAACTTGGTGAAAGTTAACTTATATCTATATCTACGTTTTCAGACAATCTACTATAAACAATGAATGAGTTAGAATATGATGAAGAAGGGTATGTCGACGTCAATTCCTTACCACTCAGACCTCCGCAGCCCATGATACCACCGGAGCGACCCGTGCGTCGCCCCTGGCATCCCGTTATGTGGGACGACTCCCTAGCCAGTATGCCTTCACAAGAACAGAGGGAGACAGATGAGGTAATAATCTATCTAGCTGCGCCGAAGTGTCCTAAAACTAATTAATTTGTACCTATATTTAACTAATTACCTACCTACTGTACAATGGAAACAAACCCCATGACACTTTGTTAAAGTTATGTCCCTGTAAATAAACCTTATAGTTAACCAATTACTTACCTACAATATAATGCTCAGCGGACAATGGTTACAACTGCAGAGGATCACCAATTTCTAATAAGTTCTTGAGACTACTCCAGTTGCTTTATTCAGGTTCCGCGGCGCTGGGAGTCGCCATACATTAAATTTGCTGAAGCCCATCAACTCAAGAATCCTCGTGGTCTTATTGACTTCGATCCCCCGGAGGAAATGGTCAGCTTAGTCACTTTAGCCATTCTTGTGTCAGTGATGCAAACAATCGCCTATCTTAATCTTCATGATTCAAATTATTTCTGGTATAAGTAGTGTTCGTCACTGTATGCTACATCTATCTTTGCATATATTATTTAATTTTTATACATTACATATCTAAAACTCGGCTGACAAACGTTGAAGAGCTGCTATTTATATTAGCACACAGTGCCACTCTATGACTAGGCAGTTCCAAAACCTAAAATGTGGGTATTTCTAGCGACAGCGACCAACGCTTGGAAGCCGTGCTTAGTGGGTATTTATTTATGGCCGCTATTTCCTTTGTCTCTTAATCTTTCCCAATACTTTTCATATTCAGTAGTAACCTTTTATGTTGTATTGGATCGCAGATAACGCGCAAATCTTCTCGCTAGTGGGTTGTATTATTGTCCTCAATTTTTTATCCTGTTTAGTACACAAGATCTCGATAACTTCATTTTCATCTGCAACCATACGAGTATTCACAATAATCACTGCGAAAAATAAACAGTTTAATATTCTTGAAGATTGTCTTAGTGGGTTCTCAGGGGCGTGAAATAAAGTTCGACACAAACCAAAATCGCATTGCCGCGTTACAACAGTAATTTTCAATAATAATCTAATTTTGATACCTTGTCTTTTTTCTAATAAGTGATATCTATAATTTCGTTATTAAATCAAAGTGGGTACTATAAATAGGCGTTAATAGTAAAAAAAAAAAATTCGTCTTTGGCAAGTCGACAATCACATACCACAAAGACGATTAGGATTTAATACACGCTGTATGTATGCCTTCCTATATTATAAAATTATAAATTTAACTCGAGTGAGTGTGCCAATGTTGTTCAAATATTTAAACAAAATAAACCATCGAGCTTTTAACACTTTAAAGGAGAAACAAACAGATTTGTGTAAACTTCATTATGTCAATCACGATTTAGTTTGTGTGCCAAGTTATAAATGTTTATTTGAAAGAAATGTTTCAAATACATGAATAGGAAGGAGTAAAATTGTTTTAGAAAAAGTATTATTTATACTAACTCTGTATTTTCCCTACCTATAAAATATAATAACGGTGACCACAATTTATGATGTATCAATGTTCATATAACCAAAATAACTTCCTGTCGTAAAATATTTATTACATGTCTTGGTATGACCATGCTTTTTATATATTATTGTAATAATGATTTTTATCATTGCACATTTAAAACTGTTTGAATGAAACGAGGATCGTTGCCAAATATACGAGACGTCTGAAAAAAATATAGGACAGATATCAATATCACAGGAGGATTGGACCGTTACAATGTATGTGCTCCCAACAAATGCGTAGCTATAGCGTTATTGCAATTTCTTACTACTGTTTATGCGATAAAATCGAAAAAATTGCTTTCTTTATTTATGGTATCGATAGACAGGAAAAGCCTTGATGTGAGCGTTCATGGGTAGCGTCATGACGTCTAAGATCAAAATACATTTTGCACAGCTGTTTGTTTATTTTTTGGATACTCGGTATCTTCTCCGTTTAAAAACAAACGCGAATCGATAAGCTGTTCTTTGTTTTCTATAATAACTATGTATGGAACTGAAATCAGTGAAATGAATAAAATGTATTGCAAATACGAAATGCTACGCTAATAGCACACAATATTTTTGGAGCATTCTACATTATTGAGCGGAAAATTATTGAGTTAAATAAAAAGGAATTCAAAGAGTTGAAATTGCTTTAATATGCTTTTTTCTAAAATTATATTATCATCATATATATGTACATACATAAATCACATATGTAGCGATAAATATTATAATCATAACAAAACATTGTGTACTATTATAGCATGGTTGTAACTGGGTATATCGAGTGGACGTTGCCATTTTCAGTCTCTAATTCTATGTTTTATTCCAGCCGCAACCACAGTCTCGAGAGTACCCACATAAGCAACGTATACGTAACCTGCGAAGGCTCATCGCCGATGGTAAAGTGAAGCCCACACCAGAGACACTCATATTTTTCCTTTGTAACAAATTCGCGGTTTCTGACGAACGGCAGAAGAAGATCGTCATCTAACAATAGGTTTACGACAAAAACTACAAGTATTGGTGTGTCTATTAATAACAATAATATAATGAAATAAATTTTGTTTTGTACTCTTTAAATGTAAATATAAAATGATATTTTTTAAAGTCGCGTAATTATTTTAATACCCTCAACAATGAAATATGTACAACAAATATAACATTATTATTAGAATCGACGCCGTCGCGACTGAGCCGAGCCGGGTCGAGGGGCGGGGCGAACTTGCAAAGACTCGAGGCGGAGTAGGTACATATACTTTATATTCTCATAAAAATTATCTACACACAAGACTTTTAATATAAAAACAAAATCGAGTTTCTCAAATACAACTTATATAAAGAAGTTCAAATAGGGATTCGACGCGGGGCGCCCCACGACTCGGCGGAGGTCCGGGGCGGGCCGCTCGCGTCGCCGCGCTAGGTGGCAGGCGGCGGCGCGGCCGGGGCCGGCGGCCCGCCCTCGCCCGCGCCGGCCGCCGCGCCACTGCTCGCGCCCTCCGCCGCTCCGCTGCCGCCGGCTTGACCCGGCTGTTCCTCGTCCTCTTCCTCCTCGGGGTCGAACTTCAGCATCAGCTGCTTGAACTGTAATAAATACTCGCTCAGTAAGGACCACGTTCAAGGTGGCAAATCGAATCGGTGAAATAATAGTAACGTCTCTTACTTCGAGGTAATCATCGACCAGTCTCCGGCGGCCGCGCTCGTCAAGTTCGTCAGTAGCGAGGTCGTCTTCTTGTAATTGCGTGATGGTGGCCTTAGGCTCAAACACAGGCGCATGGCGCCGAGATACTGCTTTTTCATACACCTTCACGTTTTCAGATGGTGAGTATTGGTTGATTTTTCTGTTAAAATAAGTAGATGTACCTTAGTTATATCATACATATCAAGGTACTTGTAGGTGTCTCTAGAGATTGATGTAATTCACAAAAAACATTCATTTCACTAGGCTATGAAGTATAGGTATCGGTGCACTGTTATAGCTGTGGGAACATTTGGTAAGGCCATTTACAAGTGACAAAGAATAGGTTAATACGAACGCGTCCGTGAAGCCGTAGAGTTGCTTGAGATGCTGTTTGAGCACGAGCAGTAGCAGACAGCCGCGCGCCTGTCGCATGGCGTCCTGTAGCGGCCGCGTGCACTCCGGCATCTGTGCCAGCAACGTCTCCGCTTCTTCGTCGTCCTCCTCCTCGTCCAGCGCCTCTTTCTCTTCTGTACTTGGTTTATTCAGTCCCTGTTGCGAAGATATTCGTTTATATTGTTTTATATTACTATCAGTGACAACAAAACGGCCGTCTGAGCAAAGTAAACAGACTGCTTAGCAGTTAACGATGACTGCTACAGAGCCTATGTAAGAAATCGAATTATATAGATAGATCCTTTATCAAATCAAAATTATGTACTTTATATAGGATAGTAATAGTAATTATTCTAAATGTAATTTAAAGTAACATATATTTACCTCACGAAAAAGTTGTAATAAATTAGATCCCGATGTCGATATAATAATGTCAATGTGATGTATAATAAATAAAGGTTCATCTTGAACTTGAAACGGAAAATAGCTCAAATTATCAGCCAAGTACAGCATTTGATCCAATGGGGCAGTCTGAAATGAAGTAAAACATGTTATTATAATATATGGCAAAGTGAAAGGACATATTATAGTCTGCAACTTAAAATTATTTTATTTAATAATAAATTCGTCGTGTTGTCGACGAACGCGGATCCACTCGAAATATAATGTCTTAGACACCGGTAATCAAATGGTTAAACATGCACTTGCTTTCGCAAAACTTACAGAGACGTCATCAAATTGTTTGAGTAGTGATAAAACCAACGCTCGTCGTTGCGGTCGCGTATTGCGAAGCAATGAATATAAGAAACCGTTGAGTGCCGTTGGCAATTCATCTTGATCCTTTTTCCTGTAAATAAAAGATTATTATAAAAATATTATAAACCATACCCTCTTATAAGATTTTATACATAATGATGAACACATACCTAAACCCTCTTATAACACCTTTATTTGCATTAACTTGCAATATTTTTTGTAACTGATAAGAAAGTTTGATGCCAAGTTGTGCCTTCATGTGAATGAAACCTGGATATTTCTTGTCAATCTCTTGGAGATGTTTGTCTGCCGTATGAGATACTGTCACCTCCAGATCAGTACTCATGCAAATCAAATATGGAACAATCTGAAACATAAATAACACGGTTTTTACATCGCCCACCAAAGTACAATATAGTTTTTTACACTCGGCCAGATTGTCTGGCCAGAAGAAGCGATCAGCACCGCCCATGGACATTCTCGCAATTCCAGAGATGTTAAAAATTAATAACCGGCCTTGTAAAAATAAATACAATATTATTATTGTTTACAACAAGGAGCTCATTTTTAAACTGTCTATAGAAGTTTCATTAAACCATTTTATTTTATATGACCAATGAATAATTATAAAGATGCAATTTAATTAGATGTGCCAGTTTTGATGGATCAATAAAAATTAGTATATAGTTGAGTATACCTGTACAGGGTGCACGAGACCTTGTGCCAGTACAAGTTGCACAACTTTCATAGCACTGGAGCGTACTACGGTGCTGGGGTGCAGGAAGGAGCCGAGGATCTCCTTCAGGTACAACTGGATCACCGTCGACGCCATACCCGAAGACACGTCACCCATCTCCTTGAGATTCTCATGTTTTGATCTTTTTGACCCTGAAAATTCATACATATATCATATAACACTTATGGAACAAAATGAACAAGTGCATTTTCATTTACTACACCCTAACTTGATACTTATTCATTAGTAAAAGTTTAATAACTCATAATTTTTTTAAATCTATTTCGAATTTAATAAGGTGTTCACTGTTCAAAATAAAATGTACTCACATTCTTTATCTTGTCTTATCATTCTTTGCTCCTCTTCTTGTAAGTACATTTCAATGTTTCTCAGTACGTCAGCTTTCATTTCAATCGGCGCTAAATCGGATGTGAGAAGTTGGTGATAGAATTCCTTTAGTTCAGGCCTCAACATGAACTCGTAATGCCTCACGCAGACCGAACCTAACGCTTTCAGAGTGTGGGACACAAAGTCCTCGTCTTCGAGTCCAACGAAAAACATCAACGTTGTAAATATCTGTTCTTTTATATCCGCCTATGGAGAAAATTATATAAAATTAAATAATGAAAAGCGGAAAAAACTTTTTGAGATTTTTGTGAGTTTAATAAGTACTTACTGGTAGACCTTCGATGACACGCGCTTCCGTGAAATCAAAGTAGCGCAATAAAAGTCCTACGATAAACAATGCGCGTCTGAAATAGGGCCTTGAGTGTAATGCTCTCGTCATTTCAGGATTTCGCTGCCAACAGTGTTTCCATTGAAGTAGTACACCTGTGGAGGGTTTATTTTGTTACATATCAAATACTAATAAACATAGCAATTAACCTGTGGAGTGTCGAACGCAGATCTACGCGAGACACAATGTGTTTTTTATTGTGTCTCATATATCAACAGACAAGAAATTAAAGGGACGCAAGAGCTAACTTTGAGCGTACAAAGTGAAATATTTTATAGAAATACGTGATACACATTTCTAAATACAAATAATAGAAATACTATAACTCACCATGGTACTTATTGAACACATCCCTAATAAGTTTGTAGTTGTGCGTGAGGTTGTTGACGATGGCTGCGAGACAAGCGATGCAAGAGGCGATGACGAGCTGCCCTCGTTGTAGGATCAGCTTCACGGCGTCCTCCTCTAACTGTGCCAGGAACACCTCGCTTGGATGCTCCATTAGCGGCACTACCAATTCTAGTGTAGAAGCCACCGTTGACATAATCTGTTGCTCATACTGATTCTGTAAATAGGAATTTAAGGTGTTAAAACTAATATAATCTATGGCAGATTTTGAAAGTACATAGAATCAATCAGATATATACCTGACACTTTAAACTCAAGTAAGGCTGTAGAGTTAGTGCATGATTCACTAACAATTGCGGCCTAATTTTTGCAAACAAATGTAATGTTGAGAGGCAAGCTAGAATGCGCTGTGATGAACCTGTCCCTGGAAATATAAATATGCAATTTATATATCGATCACAGCTTTATTGAAGCAATATAAATAGTTATTAATTTTATACCATCAGCACTCGTCTCCTCTAGCTGAAGTAAACTTTCAATGAGACAATCAACTATTTGCTGACAAGCAAGCAATAGTGATTTAGGTGGTTGATAAATAATTTTTGTAGAATCATCCTTATCTTCTTTAGGTTTAAACAACTGTAAAAATGTGCAACGGTAATTAGTAAATTATAAATATTAATGGTGTAAAACAAGTATACTTGGTTTATGATCATTATTACACTTACACTAGTCAACAATTGCTGGAACCACTCGAGGCCAATATCCCGGGAGGATATGACGACGTCAGTGATATTGAGCACCTTCCTAGTGAGCGGGTCGGCGGCGGCGGCCGTCATGTCTAGCGCGCCCGGCCGCGTCGTGTTAGCGCACGGACTAAACCACATGTTTTGAAACACTTCCATTACTAACTTCCTGATACCTTCTTCATCGTTAACTCTCCTGATCATCTTCACGCAAATCTCAGGTATTTTAGGGAATTCCGGGCACTCTATACAGATGTCTTTTAGAATTTTTATCACACGTTTACGCACCGATACACCAGTGTCCTAAAAGATTAAATTCATTTTTTTAATTTATCATTAACACAGTAAAATAAGGCACAGGCAGAGGTGCACACAGAAGTAACACCTTCTTTTCACTATTTATGTTATGAGTCCCATGTAATAGGGGGTGAGCCTATTGGCACATACCGGGCACATCTCCAGACTTCGTGCTACTACTGAGATTTTTTTTTAAAACCCAGTAGTACTTTGCCTGACTCGGGAATCGAACCCGAGCCCCTTGCTCGGCAGTCGCACTTGCGACCAGTCGGCCAACGAGGCAGTCTTTACAGATTAACGC